AACAAACAAGCCTAATCCCTTCCCTTAGCCAGCCCTTCAAATATTCGAAGACCTCCATATTGTCCCCCTCCCCCAAGCCTTATGGGGAAATAAATATTTTTCTATTGAACCTCCTCCACAAAATACAAACCCCTCAGACTGCCATTTAAAACCCCCCTACAATGTGACTCTTATCTACTTTACCACCTTATTTCATTTACTCAGCTTCAAGCACTTGGCATTCCAATCAAACCAGTCTGCTACACTGCTGCCTATACATGGTGACATCTCCCACTTCCAAGCCTTTGCTCGGTCAGCTGCTGGCAACAACCCTTTGAGGCAGATCCTATCACCATTTTTATCCCCATTTTACAGATGAGGAAACTGAGGCTCAGATAGGTTAAGTGACTTATGCATGGCACACACAGCTGGTAATTGTCAACTGATTATTCAATTGTCAGTCAACATTTATTAAGGGACCCCTGTGTGTCAGGCACTGTGCTAAGTGTTGGGGTTACAAACAGGAAAGTGTCTCTGCCCTCAGGAAGCTTATATTCTTCTAGCGGGATACAGTACACATCCAGGAGAGGCAGGTAGGGAAGGGAGCTTTGGTCTGGGGAGTCACTGACATCATGAGCAGAGTTACAGGGAACATATTAGCATGCTGGCTTCAGAAGCAATGGTGAGGGTACCACCTTGACTATTGTTCCCTGAACAAGAGAGAAGCCAGAGGGTTGGAGGCTGGGGAGGGCAGAGGGCGACGTACCTGGGCTAGCAGGGCCCTGATGTCCTGTTGGACAGCTACATGACCTGAAGCTTGATCTAGGCTAGATTCACCCAGTGCCCATCCCAAACCGAGTGGATTAGCTCCCCCAGAATGGAGATGGGGGCCTGGGGGAGGGGATGGCGAGATAACCACACTGACTAGTCCCTGGTGTTCTGGATGGATGGATAGAGTGTTAACCCAGCACAACCAGCGATTTTGAGAAAGTCTCTTCCATTTCTCTGGGCCTCAGTTTACCCATCTGTAAAACGAAAGAGTCCTTAATTATACAGAACCAAGCGATCCCCCATTCTGCCCAGCTCCCTGCTCTCCAGTAACGCAGAATCTCCCTCATCTCCTTTCACAGAGTGGTGGAACCAAGAGGGTCTTCTTGTCCTGTCTGACTCTTTGTGAGATTTTCTTGGCGAAGATGCTGGAGCGCTTTGCCATTTCCTTCTCCAGCTCACTTTACAGATGAGGAAACTGAGGCAAACAGGGTGAAGTGACTTGCCCAGGGTCACACAGCTAGAAAGTGTCTGAGGCCAGATTTGAACTCAGGAAGATGTGACTTTAGGCTAATGCTCAGCGCTCTTAGCTGCCCCAAGAAAGCCTTAAAAACCCTCAGATGCCTTAAGATTCACAGAACACTTTGCTTCCATATCTCGCTTGAGGCTCTGGGAGTATGGTCATCTCTATTTTACAGATGATAGAAGGCTCCCCCATTGTCACCAGTTCAAGGAGCTGTGGTCTAATTTGAACACACCTCTTTTGATTTCAAGGGCTCTATCTGTTCTCCCAAGATGCTTCTTTTTTATTTTTTGGTGAGGAAATAGGGGTTAAGTGACTTGTCCAGAGTCACACTAGTAAGTATTATGTGTCTGAGGCTGAATTTGAACTCAGGTCCTCCTGACTCCAGGGCTGGTCCTCTATCCACTGTGCCACCTAGCTGCCCCATCCCATGATGCTTCTAATCAGCCCATGCTACAGATGAGGACAGTGAGGTGGGTCCCAAGAGGAGGATGCCCTTGCCCACTGTTTGCCGTTTACTCAATCCTCAAGTCCTGTGGATTCTCCCATTCTAATGCATGTGCCTGACACCTTTTCCTTCTTTTCTCCTTCCCCTGACCCCCCCACTCCCATCCCTCTCAGGGCCCCACTATCTCACACCTGGAAGACTGCAGAGGCCTCCCTCCCCCCAACACTGCCACTTACTTTCAATTCATTTCAACATTTATTCGTTTTAATACTAACGAAATTAATTTCCTAAAAGCACTGCTTGGATTCCTCATGACCAATTGGATCAGTCCCAGGCTCTCTCAGAAAGGCAGTTTTTCACGATGATCTGGATCTGGACCTAGAAGGACAGTCTAGCTCGTCTTGGGGTCAAACAGCCCAAGCTGTGCTTCTGCCTTTGCTACTGACCCAGGTCACCCTCTGAGACTGTCCAGGCCACCTCCTTCACCTTACAGATGAAGAGACTGAGGGCCAGAGAGGTTAGGACTCGCCCAAAGGCACACAAGTAGAATTTAGAGCTGGAGAGGACCTTCAAGATCGATCATCTAGGAAAATGTCCTCATTTTGTAGCTGAAGAAACTGAGGCCCAAACAGTTCAGTGGCTTGCCCAAATTCACAGGGACAATGAGTGGCAGAGCTGGGTCACACGAGCCTGGCGTCATCTCAACCCTTGTATGTATTTGACTCTTCCCTTCGTGAAGCTTGCCCTGCTTACCCCATCCAGAATGCCCTTCCTGCTGCTCCAAACTTCTGAGTACTTATTCCCTGGAATGGACCTTTGACCCTCAGATCCTGCCTTCCTCCAGTGTCCTGCTCTGTCACAGGACGGGGCCGCCCTCCAGCCTCTCCATGCCCCTCCCAGCTCTGCCGTGCTGAGAAAGCTAGAAGCCAGATCCAAACAGGAGCCATTGGGCCCTGGGTGATGTTACTGGGTGGGATCTCACCCCCATTCCCCACCCCACTACCCCTTGGTGAACGGACACGGTGGGAATTTGGGTTCACTGTTAATAGAATTTCCAATCCTTTTCTAATGTCACATCATCATGGAGGTGACTCCTGGAATCTTGAAGGTGAATCCAGCAGAATCCATGAGCTGGCAAAATTCTGCCACTAGCTTTGTGACCCTGAGGGAGTCACTCAACTTCTCTTTCCCTCAGTTTCCTTAACTGTAAAATGGGGATAGTATTAGCTCCTTTGTCGATCATCACTTAGGACCATAGACTTACCATAAACTAGGACTCAATCTAAGCCTTTCATTTTATAGATGGGGAAAGTGAGGCCTTCAGTCACTGCCAGATTCACAGGGATAATAAGTCTTCTGACCCCATTCTCTTTCTGCTGTGCTCAAGTCTCAGTTTCCTCACCTGTAAAATAAGGGGATGGACCAGATGGCCTCTATAGTGCCTTAGAAAAGGGACTTGAGCCCGTCCAGGTCCCTGGTCCCCTTCAGAGAGGCTTCTTTCCAGCTCTAAGAACTTGGGGTCCGTTAAGTGAGGAAGGAGGGCAACCTACCCTTTATTGCGGCAAGTAGTCACAGGTTCATTGGAACAGGCCTTCTACGCCACAGTAACCAGAAGGTGCCTTCAGGATAGAAGGCACTTAATGTGTACTTGTTGAATGAATTTAAAAGCAAGAGTGAATGAGCTTATTGTCTTCAGTGAATTCTTTGACAAAGATCAGTTGCTTATCTTCTATTAATTTGCTGTGGTGACAGAGGAAACCAGGTTGTCCAGCCCCTGGTGGAAAGGGTTCTTAGATCTGCCCCATCCGGACCCGAGGGGTAGCAGTAGATTTCCTTGCGGAACCAGGAGAAGGCTGAATCAGAGGGATTTGTTTATTTGCATCCTAGCTTTTGGGGGCCCGGATGACGCACTCTCTTATTTGAATGTAGCTGCCTTCAGGGGCAAATCTGGTCCCCAGGTGAAGGCTACCGGAGGCTGTTAGCCCTAGCCCGTCTCAGAAAGGGGAAGAATCTAGGTCACGCTGAACTAGTCTCCATGCTGGCACCTCTGGCTTCAGTTTCTTCATCTGTAAAATGAAGAGGTCAGAAGACAGCCTCTGGGGTCCAGTCCAGCCCTGGGCCTAGCTCTGACCCTCTGAGGACTTGTCTGCCTCTCTCATTGAAAAGACAGAGATAAATGCTTTCTTTCAAAGAGGATCAGTCTTTGGATTTGAGCACCTACTGCACTGTAGGCCTCTAGTTCATTTTGGTTGAATGTTGGGGGCATACCCATTTCCCCAAAGATGTTGCCATCCACAGACTGAATCTCTAGCGGGCATGTCTTGGAGACCAAAGGGCCTCTCCTCTTCCTTCCACTGAAGAGAATGGAAAGTGGGACGGGAGCACTTCTTAAGTGATGCCAAAATGACACCACCATCTGTGGCAGGGGAAAGAGAATGCTGGATTTGGAAGCAGAAAGCCTGGGTCCGAATCCCAATTCTGTCATTTATTACCTTCGGAGCCTCAAGCCCATCACTTGGTCTGGGCCTCGGTTTCCTCACCTGTAAAGTGAGAGGGTCTGACTGGCTGATCTCCAACATCCCTTCTAGCTGTAGAGAGGTGATGGGGATTCCTGGGCCCAAAGTCAGATTATTACGTGGGGAGCAGTGGGGGGGGGGGGGGGGGGGGGGGGGGCAGGATTGCAGTCGGTCCATTTCCCTTTGGGGCCTCGGCTGGAAGGAAGAGGGAAAAGGAAGCAGCGGCCAGTGGAGTTCCCAGGCTCCGGGGATCCCCAGGGGAGAGGGACTCGGGGCCAGGTAGAGCAGTGGTCTAGGACCGCAGGGGAGGAGGGGCTGGGGAGGGGTAGGATTGGTTTCCTGCACCTGGGATGAGCTCACGCCTCGCAAACCCCCCCACCCCCACTCCCGGGCAGCCTTCCTGTTCTCTATTGTTCCCCGGGGCCGGGCCGCGTCCGGCAGCCCAGGCAGCCCGCCGGGGCACGGCGCGGCGCCGAGGGGGGCCGCGGGAGAGGCAGGTAGGGCGGGGCCTGCGCACCTGGGCTGGGCAGGAGGAGGCGCGCCCGGCTGGGACTGGGCGTGGGGAGCAGGAGGAGGAGGAGGAGGAGAAGGAGGAAGAGGAGGAGTGAGGCAGGCTCGCGGGGGTGGGCAGCGGCTGGCACCCAGCCCCGCGCACCAGCCGCAGTCGCTCCCGCGCCCTCTCCCTGCCTGGCACAGCATCCAAGGTGCGCGGCAGCTGCTGCGGGGTCCGGACGCCAGGAGCGCCGGCCGCGGCGGGCAACCGGGCATGAAGATGGCTGTGGGAGCCGTGAAGATGCAGCCCCCGCCGGCAGAGAGCCCGGAGCCGGCGGACCCCGGGGCGTCGGGGGCCGCCGGGGCCCCGGGGGGGAGGCGGCAGCGGCGACGAGGGGGGAGCCCGGGCGCCCCGGAGCAGCCCCAGCCCCCGGAGCAGCAGCTGCGGCACCGGCTGCGGGACCTGCCTGCTCTGCTGCGCAGCGGGCTCACCCTGCGCAGGAAGAGGAGCGCCGGCGGCGGCAGGGTGAGTGACCAGGGCCGGGCCCCCCGCCGGCCGGGCCGGGTGGTGGTGGAAGGGAGCGCAGGCTCTGGCCCCCGGGCACGTGCTGCCTGCCGCCTCGAGCAGGGGCGGGAGCTCTCCCCCCCCCCGAAGCCCACCCTTTCCCCCCTGGAAGTTCTGGGCTGGAGCTGCAGCGGGGGGAGGGGGCGAAGTGGGGGCACCCAGCTGCGAGACTTGGGTGCAGGACACAGCCTCCGTGACTCAGGACTGGGGGGTGTGTGTGTGTGTGACAGAACAGCCCCCTGGCCTTCCGCTCTTTCGGGGCGGGGGAGAGGGGGAGCTCTGATCTCCCCCAGCTGCTCAGGGCCTGCAGGTGGCTTCCCCTCCTGCCAGAGGCTGCGGCCGCGGGCCTGGCCTATCGCGTGCCTCGGGGGGGGGGGGGGGGGGATGGCCACTGGCTGTGGGTGCTTCCTGCGTGCGGTCCCTGGGGGCTCGTAGCAGTGACTTTCCCGCTCTGCCGTCTGGGGAACTGCTGCTTTAAGGCCCCAGGTGAGGTCGGCCCTGGCTCTGTTGCTTGTTTACCGACTTTATGGCCCTGGGGCTCAAACCCCTCCTGCCAACTCGGTGTTGGTGCCCGCCCTGAAGCCCAAATATCTCCTGCCAAGTGGGGCAGCCGAGGATCCCGGACGCTGACAGTCTGACCATGCTCTGGGCTAAACTTGTCTCGTTCTGAGTCCTGGGTCACCTACCTCCAAGCGTAGCTAAAGAACCCCAGTGCTTCAGACCTGTTGAGGCAGGGAAAAACGAGTTGGAGAGCTGCCCCTGGGGAAGGGGCTTTGAGTGCACATCTGGGCCCTGCTGCATGTGGCATGTATGACCTCGGACAAGTCATTTCCTTCCCCCGGCCAAAGTTTCCCCCTCTTTCAAATGAGATGTTTGGTCTAAGGGATCTCCCAGCTTCCCCGCGGTTCTAGACCGGGTGACTGCCTCTGCTCTCTGAACAGCAGGGAGTTTTCCAGGAGTTGTCCAGTTGAATCTTTCCCAAGAATCCCAGACAACTGCCCAGGCTCTCTTCAGAGCCCCTGGCTGCTGGAGCCCTGGGCAGAGCTGCCTTTCCCGCCCCCTCTTTTCTATGTTCAAGTGTCCAGGGATGTGTAGCCCCAGGCCTCCTGTCATCCCAAAGAAACAAGCGTTGGTGGCCTTCCTGCCATTAGCCTTCTGAATGAAAACAAACCGTGGCAGCAGCAGCGGTAAAACCCCTTGTTCCTCTGCCTTGTAATCATAGGGACCTTTTCACTTATGATCTCAATGGAACCTCTCAAGGACCCCTGAGCACGAGATTGTTACTTGCATATTACAGGTGAGGAAGTGACTTTCGGAGGGTCATACTGCTTGGCCGTGTGGTGGGAGCTGAACCCAACATTCTATTCCCTAGAGCACATTGCTGCTTATTACTAAATGGACATCTGGACTAACTTGAAAAGAAAAGAGGCTCCTGGAAGCTTTAGGGTCATGGAGAGCAGGAGACTTTACCCTCGTCTGTGGTCTGTGCTGCTTACAGAGGGTGTTATTTAACATATAGACGATTAAGCAAGCACATCAGGTCCCTTCCTTGGCTTCTTTGGCTGCGTTGATGTAGCCAGACAGATTCAGTCCAGCTCTTGCCTTCATTTCGCCTTCTCTCTTCCACCCACAATCCTTTGCAGGGCTGTGGCACCTCTATCTCTCAGAGTCTTTATTTTTCTTCAAGGTTCATCCCAGGGGCTGTCAGGGAGCTAGAGATATAAAGCTGCCCAGGATCTCAAAGGATAGCTTATCCAACCCCCTCATTTGACAGATGAGGAAACTGAGGCTGAGTTGAATAATTTGCTCAAGGTGACACCCAGTGATAGAGGGATGCTCTGGATCCCTTGGCTTCTTAGGCCTCTGGGCACCTGTTACATCTCCCCAGGGGCTGTCACCTCCCTGATGGCACGACCTGGGGCTCATTTATTCTCACCAAATACAGCAGTGCAGTGCACCTTGCAGGGCAGCATCAATGCTAGTTGAATGAAGTTGGGTCTGTCTGCTCCAAGGATGAGGGGTGTGTGGATGACCCGGGTGCCCGTCTCGGATAGTCTGGTGGGCACTGATGGGCCAAACGTCAGGCTCCCAAGCTCCCATGCCCAGATGGGCTGGGGTGAAATGGGCTGGCTTCGGGCTGCCCTGAGAGGGACGGAGGGAGCTAGTGCTGGTGAGGAAGTGAGGAGGAGGTGGTGGAAGATCCACGGGCTCCCCAAGTGGGGCTAGAGGAAAACACTGGAGCCTCTGAGGGTGTGGAGGCATCGGAGGGCTCTGAGCTGCAACGACTTTGCAAGAATCTAGGGAAAAGTAGGTCAAACCTCATTCCTATTATCCTTGACAGCTACTTTTTGTGGCAGAGAATACTGAAGACAAGGCTGCAGACAGGCTCTCCATGACAGGAACGGTGAGGAGAGCTGCATCATTCAGGGGCATTTCTAGCAGTTTTCAGTCGGCAGCGTCGGTGGCCATGAACCACCATAGCAGCAAAGGCTGCTGGGGTTTCCCTGCTGATTCTGGTTGTTGGGAATCATCTGCCCTTTGAGATTAACCTTGTCTTTGTAGTATCTGATGTGAAATAAGAGATTCCTCAGCCTGTCATTCAAGGCCTTCCATGGGTCTTTTCTAGCCTTTTTTCATACTGCTTTTCATACACAACACTACATCTCCCATCTTCATACCGTTGCACTGGCTGTATCCCATGCCTAGAATGCACTCCTTCTTTCACAGCTCCTTTGAATTTCCAGTTTCCTTCTGGTTTCAGTTCAAGTACTCCCTCCAACAGCAAGCCTTCCCCGGTGTCCTTCAATGCCCTTGCCTTCCTGGCTTCCATTACCTTGTATTTGGGGTGTTTTTCAGATATGTTAATCGACCCGTGACAAGCATTTATTAATCGATCACGGTGTGGTGGGCACTCTGCTGCTCTACTTAGCTCATGACTTTGTGTACAGACCTCCGCTGAATGCTGGGGTTACAAAGTAAGACAAAAGCAATCTTTGACCTCCGGGTCAAAGGGCAAATATGTCCACAAGCTCTCCCTCCATAGAGGGGAAGCTTCTTGAGAGCAGAGACTGTCTCTTCATTTTGACTTTGTGCTCCTGGTGCCTAGGTGAGCGCCTGGCACACAGCAGAGGCTTAATAAGTACCCATTGCTTGGCTCGAATGATCTACATTCCAGCCAGACTCTCCTAGTTCACCTGCCTCAATGTTTCCTCCATGTCATCCCCTCTCCCCCCGTGCTGGAGCTCGTGACTGTGTGACTTTGGGCAAGTCACTGAGCCCCCCAGGGTCTCAGTTTCATTACCTGTAAAATGAGGGATTGGAATTGATGATGTGTTAGCTGTCTCCCAGCTCTGCCTCTCTCAGTGCTCCCAGACTCAGAGGTGAAGTGACTTGTCCAAGGTCACACAGTTGCTATCAGAGGTGAGATTTGAATCCAGATCTTCTGACATCAAGTCAAGCCCTGTCCACCATGCCAAGCTGCTTCTCTTCCCTTAGCACATCCTACCTTTAATGTACCAGGGAGACTGTCTGACACTCCTCCATACATAGACTGTAAACTCCTTGAAGTTACGGACTATGTACCCCTGTGCCTAGCACAGTGCCCCGAGCTTAAGAAATGTTTACTGTTTACTTCTACCAAACAATGCAACTTCCCTCCCTCCCTCCCTCTTTCCTTCCCTCTTTCTCCCTCTCCCTCCCTTCCTCCCTCTGTCCTTCCCTGTCTCTTTTCCTCTCTCTCTTCCTCTCTCCCTCCTTCCTGCTCTCATTCTTTCTTTACCATCTCTCTTATTCCCTCTCTCCCTCCCTCTCCCTTTCCTCCCTTTATCTCCCTCCATTCTTCCGTCCTTTTTCCCACAGAACCCACCTCAGGCCTGGCCCTTTGACTCCCAAATGCCAGGAGGGTGAGAACGTGACTTCACTGGCACAAATCTATCACCTCTGCTAGAAAAGTACATTGAATGGAGGAGATGAGTTTTTGAGATTTGAGAAATGTGGGCCTATTTTAGGAATATGTGAATATTTGAGCACAGTGAACTGAGCCCAGGCCTGAATGGAAGAACGCTTAGCCTGACTTTGGGAGAGTGTAATGAGCCCCTGAATTCTCCCCCGAAGCCAAAGACCCATAGGATCCCAGCTCCAATGCTGGACAGGCCCTCAGGGGCCCCCACCTATCGGGGAACCAAGGCCTAGACAGATGAATTGACCCACCCAAGCCCCACAGATAGGAAATGTCAGAGGGAGGCTTTGAACCTGGACCTCTACCTTCAGAAGCAGCACTCTTTCTACTGCACCCCTTTACCTTTTCAACATCAATATTTTTCCCATGATGTTATATGACTGGGAGGCAGGGGAGGCCAGATTCTCAAGAATTTGAGGTTAGGGACACAATCAAATGAGGTAAAATTTTGTAAAACACAGTGCTGCACACAGTAGGCACATAATAAATGCTTGTTCCCTTCACCTTCCGCAGATGGTGACAGAGAAGCCCATGGTAGGGCCTATTACCAGGGGGGACAGGTGGAGAATGGGAGCAAAGAGGTGCATGTTTGGAGCAGAAGCTGGGGCGATCAGTTGTGACATAATGTGGCAAGATGGTGACCATAACCAATGGATGGCCTACATGCTCTTCTGTCATATCAGAACTAGAGAAAGGCTTCTAGCACACTGGGATGGGGCCTGGAGAAAAATCATGGGAATCCCTACAGAACAGCCCCACGAGAGGTGGGTAGGCCAGGATCTGTAATGTCACAGGGGCCTCCAGCATAGGTGAATGCACAGTCTATTAAAGCAAGAACTTAAAGGGGTCTCACACTTCTTGTCCTTTCCCCCCATTAAGTTGGATAGTCTTGAACTGACTGTGCATTCCTTATGTATCTAAGAGCCATGGTGCCCAGAGGAGTAGCCTTTCTTCAGCTAGTAATCCTATTAGTCACAAAGCAAGGGTGATTTCTGAATATGGG